GAATATACATATCTGGGTCAAAATGTCAAGGTAAGCAAAGAAAATCAGACTACCGAAATAAGCAGACGTATAGAAATGGGATAGGCAGCATTCGGAAGACTCTCATACGTACTTAAAAATAAAAATATACCTCAATGACTGCGAACCAAAGTGTTTAATTCCTGTATCCTACCTGTACTTACATATGGAGCTCAAACCTGGACATTCACTAAAATAAACATGGAGAAGATCAGAAAAACTCAGAGAGCTATGGAACGACAGATGCTGGGTATCTCACTCAAAGACCATAAAACCAATGAAGACATTCGTAATAGAACAAAAGTAAAAGATGCTGTCGAACAGGCAGCTAAACTGAAATGGAAATGGGCTGGACATAACGAACGTCTTAAGGATGCCGATGGAATAAAGAAATCGGAATTGGCGGCCATATGAAGCCAAAAGACCACGAGGAAGACCACAAATGCGCTGGAGCGACGATATTAAAAGAACTGCAGGCCAATGTGGAAACGTCTTACAAACAACAGAGATGAAAGGCGAAAATTAGGAGAGGCCTATATTCGGCAATTCGAATAGAGAAATGGCTTTAAAAGAAAAAAAATATTCATCTACGTCCCATTGTCAGCGCACACAATTGCCTTACACAACTATTGGTTAAGCACTTGGCCAAAATTTTACAAGCTCTCGCTGAATTATAAACACCCCCTCAAAAATTTTAAATAACAAAGGGGGTCGTATGTCACCTTGTTAAAAAGGGATTTAAATCTGTCTAGCAATAGAAAGTTTTTTTTAGTTTGTGCAATCATAACTGACAAAATTTATTTTTAAAATTAAATTAAATGTTAAACTTGACCACCATTATTCACTGCTTGACAATAACCGAGGTGATTTTGGAATTTTCGTACAACGTTTTGTATGACCTCGGGTATGATTTTGTTAATTTTTTTCGTTATCCTAACTTTTAAATTAGCAAGTATTGACGCTAAACAAGCATTGGTGTTAAAGTTGTTATTACATATTGTAGTATTGATCTATATGTAATTCATGCTGAGTCAAATGACTCAGCACAGTGAATTACTCTGCTGATAATAGTTGTTTTATTAATTGCAGAGCTAACGTCTATTTTTTGTGCATTTTAATTATTATTTTTTATTTATTTATTTATCTATTAATCTGTCATTTATTCATAACTATTAATATGTATTTTCGGAAAAATAAAAGAATACCGCTGCTATTAAAAATATTCATAAACCACACTAAGGTAATTGACAATTTAAAATTATTAACTTTATATTCGTTTCGTGTAAAATTGTCATGTCTCTGCTGCATTTTTTTAGTACCTATTGATTGAAATTATTAATATACTTCACAAAGTGAAACGTGAATGAAGCGGGAAACCATAGTGTCACGATAATAGGCATGGTCGACCGAGTTCTATGATGTCATTTTTTGTTTTATAAAACTATAACGAAACTTTTGAAGCTAAAACTGAGGTTTTAGCTTTATGTTTTGCTTAATTTAATTTGCAAAAATACCAATATACCAGTATTTCGCTGTTTTGTTTGTATAAATACGTATCTATATTTCGTTTTTATAACGTCTCTACACTTGAGTTTTGATCAATAAGTGAGTGATACCAGTCCTCAGATTCCATCTTTGGTCGTAATACTTATCTAGTTTTTTACCAAAAGATACACTTATTTAATTATTTAATTAAGTGCATATATATATATATATATATATATATATATATATATATATATATATATATATATATAATATAAAATTAAAAATTTTAAAAATTTTAGAAACGTTGATTAATTGCAATGGAAAATAAAATCTAGTTCCACATGTAACATATCTTTATTGAACCTAACCCAAGAAATATTAATTTTATATTAAATATAATACGGTTCAAAGAAACTCAAAACTACTATATATATATATATATATATATATATATATATATATATATATATATATATAGAAAAGAAATTTAATCTTTGCAGATAAGTTAAATAGTAAACTCTTAAATATTGGGGAAATCTGCAAGAAAAACTCTAATGAGTATCAATTGTTTCGCCGAACGTTTTCGCCAAAGAGAATTAATTTGGCTTCTTCAGGGCTGAAAGAGAATAAATTATAAGTAGCTACCATATATTATCTATTAAAAAACATTATTGATCTTACCGTAACTTAGAATTGTCGAGTTAGGATGTTAAAAAACTTAGCTAGTAACAACATAGTGGTGTTTTTTGTTACTATGTGCAAAAAAAGTTTTTTTAACGTTGGAAATGTATGGTAGCTTTTAACTTAAAACTCAAAGGTTTACCCAAGGTTAATCAAAAAACCCAATATAACTACATTTAAAGGAAGTAATTCTTTGAATTGTCGGCAATAACTATATTTTTGATTGTTATAAAGTTTAAATGTGAGGTTCTGTTTTTTCAGAACGCATGTGCTGATAGTTTAAGTACTTTGACATAAATATTCAAAAGAACTACTTAACGTACAACTTAACATTAAAAAGACATTAATGTTATACGACACCTTAACATTAAAAATACAACAAAAAACTAAATGAGAAAAAAGAAACCACAAGAAAAACTAATGAGGGCACAAAATGTTTGTTAATTTAATTGTTAGTTGATATTTATTTAGACTAATGGCTTCTATTAGAATGTATTAGTTCTTATGCCAAACGATACTAATATGCTTTTGGTTACATTTGCTGTACGATGATGAGCGTCATAGTTATACACGTAGATTTGGTAAATAAAATAAAAATAAAATAAAAATAAAAACGTTTATTGACTTATTATAATTTACATTTCACACTTAAGATACTTTAAACCTATGATATATTAACCTTCTTACTTGAAGTCTTGCACCGCCTACTGGTTAAATTGCTTCATCTCAGACCTTGGATTTTCCTGTCATGGACTACTTGGCATATTTTTCTATGTACTAGGTACTTGTTTTCCGGCATCAGCTAGGATCAGCCTATGTTTTGTTCTGTACATCCGCTGTATTCGGTTTCTCTCGAGAATGTTTCTTGTTCTTACGAGTCTTCTTGTGGCTTAGAGGCAGAAGTACCTTGTCCTGTTCTCAGCCGCCCCCTCAGTGGTGTGTACTGGAACCTTTCCAGATGGTGGCATTGAAACTCTAGCCTTTCATGACGCTCCGTCGGTTAGTCGATAACATGATGTTTCCGATCTCTCCAGCTTCTTCTAGTTGGTTTCTGCCATAGAACTATATACTGGAATTACATACATCACCGGTCCAACGTGGGCTGAGTATATTCGGTTCTTTTTGATCTTCGTTGGTGGAGTTGTTATGAAAATATAAGAGAGTATTAATTTTTTAGCTATATTTGCTTTTAACTTGGTTTCTTAAATGTGCTTCATGAAGTTTAGTTTTCTATCGAGGTAGACTCCCAGGTACCTGACTGATGGTTTCGAGTGGATGATATTTCCTCTTTTCGTAAAGTCGACTGCTGGTAAGCTCAGATGATGAATTGTGTCTTTTCCGCATTTATCTTGATTTTCCTTTTGTCCGTGAATTCCGAAATCCTCTCCAAGTGGTTTTCTAACGTCTGGACGATCCTTCTATTCTTTTTGTAGGTAAATCTGAAACAAAAATGTTGTATAAAATGGTCGATAGGATACTGCTTTAAGGCATTCCTTTAAACATCTTGTATCTTGGACGTCTTTTGGTCCTCTGAAACTCTAAAAGTTCTATTAGTTACAAGTAAATCACATATATTAACTTAATAATGTGCCAATCTAGCTCTGTACATATTGTGTATAAAGGCTTTCTTTAAAACTATGTCGTACGCCTTTTCGATATCGAGGATGGCCATTCCAGTTTTCTGGTTTTTGTTAAAGTGAATATTAGTATCGCTGGCAACATTTGCCAGCTGTATTTCGTAGTTTCTTCCTCTTCTAATATCTGCCTTCAGGAGGGATATTGGCCTGTAGTTTTCCTGTCTCTTCCATCCTTCCTTGCTTTTAGTAGTTTCCAGCTTTTCGGAAAATTCGATTTTTCTAGGTAAAATCTGAGAATGTAGTGTGGTTGCACTATCATTTTCTTCGGTAGTTCCTTAAGTAGTTTTGTGGATGTCTTCCGATCCTGGTGCTGTGTTTTCTTTTAGTCTTCTGATGATTTAGCAACTTCTGTTGTATTAAGGTGGTCTTCTTCCTTTACTAAAAATTCGTTCCTTCTTCTTATTCTCTCGTAGGAGTTGTTGACTTCTTGTTTGTTTGCTTTGTCCGACATGTTTTAATTTTGCCTGTGTGTTGCTATCATTCTTCTTGCGATTGCATCCATTTTATGTTGGGTTTCGTAGTGTGTTTCTTGGACAATTAAGACTATCATTAAAAAAAGGATATGGGATATAATTGTTCTTATTTTTCCTGTATGGTGGTTCTTATTTGTTTTTTATGACGCTTGAGTGATATATGTGGTTAAAGTTATCAATGTCGGTTCTATGATATTCTGCATTAGAGATTTGTGGGAATGGTTATTTCACTTTTTTATAAACTCGCCACCAAGATTGCATGATTCACTTTTTTAGATATTTTTCTTGTGAGATTTATAAGATTCAAATTCAGCCTGATTTATGCATCAGAGTCATGTAAAATTGGACATTCCGGTTATGGGCTAGTTCGCGAAAAGAGGCAAACCTTTGAAAAATTTTATTTTATATTATATATTATATATAATATAATCTAAAGGCCTTATAAAGGACAAAAAAAATTAATGATATCTTACACATACTTTACTTTATTTAAATTTAAAGATAAAAGGCGCTTTAAAGACTTTTTAAATTATCTGAATTTAAAATTATAAATTAACTCTGTTTTCAATTTTAAACAGGAAATTTTACGTTTATGTCAAAACAATACATTTATATAACAAATATTCCTTTATTCTGTCATCTTGTTACTTTCAAATGTGTCTGCTCTGTTAATACGAAACACATCCATATACTTTATATCACGATGTCGACATGCCCTATAGAATATCATTTAAGTGTGTACATTCTTCCATTCTTTCTCGTTTTCAGATTAACTGAGGCACACAAGAATGCGATCCGAGCGATCCGGAAAATAAAATATTTCGTAGCCAGGAGGAAGTTTCAACAGGCGAGAAAACCGTACGACGTCAGAGATGTCATCGAACAATACAGCCAGGGTCATTTGAACATGATGGTCAGAATAAAGGTAAGTTGTATCTTTAGAAATGATGTTGAGCTAGACTTTGTGAAAAGAATACGTTTAAGGTCCTTTTACCTGAAAAAAAAAGTAAATGTTATATTTTGTCAACGGAAAAACATACATATAATGTAACGGTGGAGCGTTTTCTAAACTGGATGATTTTGAATCATATTTCTTAGAGGCGGAATTAAATTATTGTGGATGTATAACTCAAAATAACGAAATAAATAAAATAGTAAAAGATGCAAGCTAAAATATTGTTCAGTTTTAAAAGTGATTCGAATTAAGGGTTATAATGACCAATGCTTACGTATGCGTGTCAATCGTCGGTATTAAATAAGAAATATCAAATAAGACGGCTCAGAGAGGTATTACTAAGTAAGAAGTACCATAATGAATAGAGTAAGACTCGGTAAGAACAAGTTGTAGAAGAAATGAAAAAGTCGATAGCAGAGTATGTTGAAAAGAACAGTTAGGTTTGAAAAGTCATCTGCAGCGACTAAAAATGAAATTCTGGTCAAAAATATATATAAGAAATAAAACTACAGAAGAAAAAAAGAGAAAGACCTAGGGAGATTGGAATGATGTAATAGCAAAATAACTTAAAAAAAAGGAGTTACATAAAGAGAAGAAAGGTTTATGGCAAGATAGGCAGATCCGGAAGAAAATCATGCACAGTTAAAATTTTAGTGCATTTCATCCATCGAGCAAAATTCACTATAGCGGTAAGGTGTTTCGTCTTTATCACTAAAGCTCGGATTTATAGGTAACAAAAATTGAAGAAAAAGGCGCCTATATAGGCAAAGATTTTTATTAAAAAAGGTAGGAATATTAACATTTAGGCAAAATATAGGCAATAAAGGAATATAACTTATTATTTATTGTACAAAGTGAATTAACGTAATATTAACTTAAGGCAGGTATATTTACACATCATAATCATCTTCTTTTTTCTTCTGGTTCCTATCCGTTTCGGATGTTGGAAATCATATTGGCAATCATAACCTTGCTCGCTGCGGCTCGAAACAGCTCCGTTGAGATTTTCTTAAACCATGTTCTTAAATTCCGCAGCCATGATATTCTCCTTCTACCGGGTCCTCGCTTACCTTTGACTTTACCTTGCAATATAGACTGTAGCAGGGAGTAACGGTGCTGATTTCTCATAACGTGTCCCAGATATTGCAATTTTATGCGTTTGATCGTAAACACAATCTCTGGTTCCTTCTTCATTTTTCCTAGAACTTCCTTGTTCGTGATCCTTGCTGTCCATGATATTCTCAGCATTCTTCTATAAAGCCACATCTCAAATGCTTCAAGTTTTTTAATAGTGGTGTCTGTAAGCGTCCATGCCTCCGCCCCGTACAACAACACAGAGAAAACATAGCATCTCAAATGTCTCATTTTTGTATCAAGGGATATGTTGTGACTTTTGAAGATGGCGCTCATTTTGTTAAAGACCGTTCTTGCCTTTCCTATGCGGCACTTTATTTCCTGTAAATTGCTCCACTGTTCGTTAATAATAGTTCCCAGGTAACAATACTGTTTTACTCGCTCTATCTGCGTCCCATTAATGTATAGATGAGCCCCGTTTATATTCTCCTTGCTGATAATCATTTGTTTCGTTTTGTGGGTATTAATGTTTAGTCCGTACTGTTGACTGTACTCGTTTATTCTGTCCATTAGCCTCTGAAGTCCCTCTAAACTATCTGCTATCACCATGGTGTCGTCGGCATATCTAACATTGTTTACTCTTTCACCATTTAGAAGGATGCCTTCGTCTATTCCGTAAAGAGCCTCGTTAAAAATTTTCTCTGAGTACATATTAAATATCAACGGCGATAGGATACATCCCTGTCTAACTCCACGTAGTATTTTTATGTGATCTGTTTCTTCTCCGTTAATTTTCATGTATGCGGTCTGATTCCAGTAGAGTTCTGAAATTATTCTGAGGTCTTTGTCATCCAGGTCTGCCTCTTTTAAAATGTTTATCATCTTTTGATGTTGAACTCTGTCAAATGCCTTTTCATAGTCGATCAAGCACGCGTATACGTCGCAGTTAACGTTCCTGCATCTTTAAATCAGTACCTGTACTCCGAAAAGTGCCTCTCTGGTACCCACTGCGTTAATGAAGCCGAACTGTCTGTCCGATATTTGTTCCTCGCTCTTCTTATAAATTCTTCCATGGATGACTCTAAGAAACAGTTTCAACATGTGGCTCATTAGGCTGATTGTTCGATATTCTTGTGAAATTGTGGTTTTGCTGCTTTTACTTTTTCATAGGTACTCATAACTGTCACCCCCACCCCCGGGAGATCCGATTGGGGAACTTACTCCGGAATCGTATTTAGTTGTGAGCATTACCATATATGATTTTCTACTAGGACTATTCGATGGAATCTTTAATGTAGTGGTTGTCCTCGGCCTTTTACATCCCTATGCCGTTGACCTCTACTGAGGTTCTTCGTCTTTAGGGCCAGTTTCCCAACCCTCGGACAAAAGAGTGCCCTGTCACTTACCAGCTCATCCGCCCGAAGCCGTTGGCCAGTAAGTGGGGGATTGCTTATACCGGCAATCCTTCGGTGAAATAGGTGGGTGGGATATAGGGAAGGAATTTGGGGTTTGGGTAGGATAATATTAGGGTTTGGACCTGGTTTCCTCTAAATAGGGAATGGAGGAAAACCAGGTGCTCGCGTGGGCAGGGACGCTACCTGCCTGAAGTAAGTCTACCCTCTATCGGGATCATGGAGGGGTACCTACCCGCTATCATATATCATAATCATAACATTAGTATAAATAAACTATTAACTAAATAACTGTAAATTAATAATTAAACATTGTAACCACTTAAAATTATATCATTAATAGAAATAACTAAATGGTTTTCAATATCTTCGGTCTTAAAACTATGTCTTCGATCACTTAAAATTAATTTGTACATTGAAAACGAACGTTCGACATCGACAGATGTAATTGGAGCATATTTCAGAGCGGATAATAAATCTGGCAATGAATTAAATTAGGATAAAAAATCTTTAAATTAACAGCAGCTTTCAACATATATGCCGCAGCATCTGAAAGCATTAAAACCATTTTATTCACTGGTATAGCGTTGGGTAAAAAGAGGTTTGTTAAACTATCTTGTATAAATCGACTTAGTGTTAAATTGTTTGTTTTTTCCAATTCTTTAACGGCAACTAAATAAGGTTTTCTCGCAAAGTTTTCGTTCAAAATTCCAATCATTAAATTAGCTATATACCTGCCGCATACATCTGTCGTTTCATCCACGATAATATACAAAAAATTGCCCTCTAACTCCTGCTTAATTTTTGAAATACATTCCACATAACATTTTTCCACAGTATGTTTTCTCAATGTACTCTCGTCCGGTAAGGATTTATTAAGATATTTTTCGAAAAAGCATTTAAAACTAGGGCTATTAACTTTATAGAGGAATGTTGGATGCAATCATCATCTGGCATAAATGAAATTTAAATGCGCCTTCCTCCTTTTTTTTTTAACTGCTTAAACTATCCGCAGAGATATTTGGGCTAACTTAGAGGAATTCAATTTTTCCAAATTACGTTAATGAAGTGGGGTTCCACAATGCTGGTCAATAAAGTACTTTTTTCTACTTGAAATCTGAGAATTAAAAAAATAATTAGAATTCTAAAACCGCTTTAGAATTTAGTTATGTTGTGGGACGAGAAAAAAAAGAGAAAAAATAAAACTTACCGATTTGCCGCATGGTTTACAAAATGCTCCATCTCCTTCTAGAGAAAGTTCCGAATAAGGTGCGATCCATAGCCTTAATTTAGATGTCATCTTTTCACACAAATATCTAAAACGTTTTAAAACGTGTTCTTTGCTTTTCGGTATACGCAACAAAACTAAACTAGGATATAGCAATTTGTGACTAAACTCTGATACAATAACCGACTGTACAACTGATAATAAACTAATAAAGCTTGGGGATTTCCAAATAGTTAACGCTCAAGTCTCGATCAGGTACATTTTCCTAGAAATCTGTTATATAAACACCCCATTGATATTTTATTATTGACCCAAAATTTTATTATAGAATGATTTAGTAATAGAATAATATCATGAGCAGTACCATAAAATTTGAAAAAAGGCAGAAATAGGCGGAATTTACAAAAAAAGGCAAAATAGGCAAAAAAGGCATTTTGCATATAATCCGAGCTTTTTATCACCATTATAATCATTTTCTTACGTTGTTATTGTAGTTAATTTTTTAATAGGTAAATAAAATAGTTTCTTAACATTTTAAATATTTTTAGGAATTGCAAAGGAGATTGGACCAAACTCTGGGTAAACCAGGTAGCTATTTAGCTGGAATTGACAAAGTGGGAAACGTAAAACACATGACCGTTGGTGCTAGGTTGTACAGGGTAGAGCAACAGGTAAATAATTTTTTTTTTCGTTCTAAGTTTAATTTGTTTTTCTACCATCACTTAATAAATTTCTTATTTTCCTTGTCATTTTTGCTTATTTAATTGGCAGTCAGAAAAATCTCATAAAATTTGTTTTATTTAAATGAAAATTAGAATAACAAGAAACAATTAATGCGAGTTAATAGCAAAATAAAGTTCGTAGAAATCGGCATAGCTCGCAGCAAAAGAAAAAATGTAATAAAATATGTGTATAAGATGGCAGGCAACCTTATATACATATTTCTTACTATTGGTCGTCACAGTAATAAACTCAATCTCTACTGGTAGTGATCACAGAATGATACGGGCTAAAATAAGTGTTAAACACAGAAAAGATCGAAGACAATATGTACTCTAAGAAAAAAGTCTACCCAGAAAAATTAAACCAGAATAAAAAACAATACCAAACAAATTAAGAACAGCTGAAGAACTAAAGCTAACAGACCAAATCTAGATCAACTAACAAAGCCATCACTGAAGAACTTCTAAAGACTAGCTTAGAAGTAGCACCAGCAAAATCAGACAAAAAATCAAAACTAAGTGCCATATCTTTAGACATGCTACAACAACGGAGAAGCCTACTACAAGAAAATAAAAGAAATACAACTGAATACAAAACCCTTAATGCAGAAATAAGAAGACATATAAAACAAGATCTCAAACGGCATCAAGAAGAACGAATCGAGAAGATTATAGAAGAAAATAGAAACTTAAGATCTATCAAGTCCCACCTAGGAAGAAATAAAATCATAGAGATGGAAAATAAACAAGGTGTAATAGAAAAAAGCAGAACCCAAATATCTAAGATAACAAATGAATATTATAGTGACCTCTACAGCTCTAAAAACAGTCAACCTGAAAAAGAAAATAATGAATGTAAACTCTGAAATATTACCCCCATAACCGGAGAAGAAATAGAAAAAGCAATTACAGATATGAAAAGAAATAAGGCTCCGGGAGACGATGAAATTCTAATTGAAATGTTAAAAGAAGGAGGGAAAAGATAAAAGACTACCTAAAGATACTTTTCAATAAATGTTTGTTTGAAGGACAAATACCGCAAGAGTGGAACAAGGCAAATACAATTCTGATATATAAGAAAGGAAACAGATCAAAATTAGCTAACTATAGACCAATATCTCTCTTGTCACAAATCTATAAAACTTTCACTAAGGTGATCACAACTAGACTAAACAACAAATTTGATGCATACCAACCAGTTGAGCAGGCAGGATTTAGAAAGGGGTACAGCACAACTGACCACCTTCACACTCTTAAAATATTGATAGAAAAGACCAACGAATACAACCTTCCAATATACCTAGCGTTTGTTGACTATGAAAAAGCGTTTGACAGCATAGAACTATGGGCAGTGGAAGAAGCGCTAGTTAATTGCCGAATAGATTCACGGTACAGAATGTTAATCCACAATATATATCAAAATGCCACTATGAGAATTCAGCTAGACAGAGATTTGCAAACTCCATTAATTAGAATTTGTAGAGGTGTCAGACAAGGGATACAATCTCACCCAAACTATTTACTCTGGCGTTGGAAGACATTTTTAAATCTATAGACTGGGACAATAAAGGGATTTGTATAAACGGGAAATATTTAAATCATCTAAGATTCGCCGATGATGTACTCCTGATAGCAACAACTATGGAACAACTACGAATAATGATTTCAGACCTAGAAAAAACATCTCTTGAGAAAGGACTAAAAATGAATCTAAAGAAAACTAAAATAATGACTAATACAGAAGACAGATCAGTAATTACCATAGGTGGAACAGACATAGAACACGTCCAAGAATATATTTACTTAGGACAAGCTATCAGAGCAGACAAAAGTAACCAGACTAAAGAAATAACCAGAAGAATAAGAATGGGGTGGGCTGCATTCGGAAAACTCTCATATACTATCAAAAACCAAAAAATACCTTTAAAATTAAGAACGAAGGTATTTAATGCATGCGTCCTACCTGTTCTGACATATGGTGCCCAGACGTGGACGTGTACCAAGAGCAACTTAGATAGAATAAAGAAAACTCAAAGAGCTATGGAAAGACAAATGTTGGGAATATCGTTGAGAGATAAAAAGAGGAACGAGTGGATAAGATGCAAAACCGAAACAACAGACGCTGTCGAACATGCATTGAAATTAAAATGGAAATGGGCTGGGCATAATGAAAGATATCAGGATGGAAGATGGAATAAAGAAATTGGCCGCTGGAGACCATATACTGCAAAAAGGTCAAGAGGTCGACCGCAAATGAGATGGAAAGATGACATTGAGCAAAGCGCAGGTCCAATGTGGAAAAGACAAACAGAAGACAGAGACAAATAGAGACAAATGGGAGAGGCCTATATTCAACACATGAATAGATTTTGGGCTATATATACATAGATAGATAGATATAAGACATAAAAGTTAGCCATTTTTAAGGTGGCCCATTAAGTTTGGCCCAGAGTGTATTATTTATGTGAGTACTGTGTCATGTTTTTACTACAAATAGTGTATTATTTTTGTTTGGCATAAAAATAACTAATAAACTTTTTATTTTCAGTTGGGATCACTAGAAAAAAAGTTAGATTCAGTAATTAGTATTATTACCGTTTTAGCACAAAACCAACAAGTAGGAATTAAATCAGAAGAAAACGCTTAAATACAATTTTTGATACGAAGGACCATATCTAAGAAATATCGTAATAATAAAAAATATTTTATTGTACTTTTAAACTATTTAACAATAACGATTTTTGTCAAATATCGGTAACTGTTATGCTACTGGTTACCTAATTTGTGAATTTTATAAATAATTAAACAAAGAAATTATTTTTTGTCACAATTGTAAAAAGGTATATAGATTTTATATTTTTTGCCATATGATGAAGTGTGGTACTTTTTCGAAAACTAGCTAAAATATCAGTTACAAAAAGATTTTTTTCCACGTGTTTTTAAAACACTAAATAATCACCTAATGTTGTGCATAGTTAACAATTAAAAAGAAAACTAATAATGGTTTTAAAACTATTTATTTATTTCACTGTTAACATAGGTTATACATTAACCACTACTATAATATTTTAACTACTACCTTTCTTAAAATGTGAATCTTGAAATATCAAAGTTTGTCACTTTAGCCACCGTTAGGGAATAAAATAATATATTTAACCGACTAGTTTGTTAAGGGCTTGACATATGTGGACCGAGAAATCCATAGATATATTATACAGTAGGGCCTCACTAATCCGGCTTCTTGTTGTTCAGTGATCGCTGTAATCCGGCCAGGCAATAGACTTCGCGCACAGGTATAGGTGAGGTCGCTGCCGTGAGCCAACATCGAGGCTTTCGTGGCTTTCCTCATTCGACTTAAATTTCTGCCTTACGAGTGCGCTTTTCAAGTTTGGAAACAAAAAAAGTGCACGCGACCAAATCCGGAGAATACAGTGAATGGGGCAACCATTTGTAGCAAAATTCGACCAATTTAGAAATAATGAAGGCGGAGGTATGACCCAGTACGTTTTCATGGTAAAAGAGTACTTTTTTCTTCGCCAAATAGAGTCTTTTTTGCAATTCTTCATCGAATCGGCCCAATAATTCGGCGTACTATGGCTACATATGTGGTTTTGCCCTTTACTAGGTATTAAATGTAGATTACTCCTTGTAAATCCCAGAAAATGGTGGCCATCACCTTTTCGGCCGATAGGACAGTCTTCACGTTCTTCGCAGCACGTCGTCGAGTGTCATCTACTGTTTTGACTGTTTCTTGATCTCTGGTATATACCAGTAGATCATGATAGATCAACGGTTACAAAACAATGTAGAGAATCCTTCAGATTACACTTAAATATAGTCAAACACTGTTTTGAAGTGGTCTCACGGTTGCGCTTGTTGTCTGGAGTTCCAAATGCGGCATCCATCGCATGAACTACTTTCTCATGACCAAAATGTCTCAACTATATCGCGCATCATCAGTCAACCGTCTGTCAATACAAGATCGTAGATTTTTGTCACGTTATCCTCCGTGGTAGCTATTTTTAGGGCACCGAGTTGTAGTTGGTGAGTCCAATTGATTATTTTTAAATGTTATAAACAAAGACATCATATGTTTAATAACATTTCACAAAAATATTAATGATGATGGTTTGGAATAAGTTTTACTTCTTTTTGTGTATATCAATAATTAGTGTTCATTGAGGAACCCACAAAACAAAATGTCTACTTATTTTAGTAACTGAAAAATATTTTATTTTGCCAGTCCTAAGTTTAGAAAAAAGATATTTTTTTAATAGTATATTGCGAGATTGTTTACTGCTAAAACCATTGTTCCGATCAATTTGTAAGAACATTTAATAATTCAACCTGATGATTTATTTAACAAGGAAAATAAATCAAATAAGTTTGTATTTCAAGGATCCCATACTTAAAAGGTTCTTAAGAGAGTTTACCGTCTTGGTAAAAATATTAATTGTTTTTATTATAATTTGCCTATTTTCCAAAAAGTACTTCAAACCATTAGTTTACACTTTTAAATTGTATTAGCCTAAACCCTTTCACTTAAACATATCAGTCTGTACTTTTATCATTAAAACAGTACATTTGGAAACATTTCAGAGCAATTCATAACGGGTCATTTCTTAGAGCAATACAAAACTCATAGAATAAAAAAAAAACAAAAAAAGTTTGTTTATAACGATATTATTATCTGCAATGAACATTTCTTGCATGGCGATTCTTCTAACGAATGACCGAAAGTTTTTTACTGAGAAATTCACAATAGTAGTCAATAAAGTATTTGATGCGCCTGATGTTCTATTGTGGGACACACAATGTAAAGTGTTTTATATCTAGTTGTAATAATTTTACACAAGTTTATTTAGGCTGTGTCTATATATTTGTAGGGAATTCCCAACAACTCGCATATCATCAAATTAAAATGTTTAATTTAGTATATACAGCTATTTCTTATTTCTGAAAACTATATTGGTGAATTCGGCTATGGTGTTAGAAATGAGAGAGGAGAAACCCTGGTTAACTTCCTACATAGCAACAAATATTTCGTAATGAACACATTTTATAAGAAAAAACCGCAAAGAAAGTGGACGTGGTTATCACCAGACGGAAAAACAAGGAACGAAATCGATTACATCATGTGTAACAAGAAAGGTATCGTAGAAGATGTAACAGTAATAAATAATGTCTCGCTGGGTAGTAATTACAGAATGGTTAGAGCTAAACTAAGGATTAAGTATAGCAAACGTAGAATTAACTTTAATAACACGATACAAATAGACACAGAAAAGCTAAAAGTCGATAAAGAAAAATATGCTAGTAAATTAAAAACCGCCCAAGCACTGAATCTAGAACAACTCAGCGTTAATAGAATTAACTCAGTTATAACAAAAGAACTATTGAATGCTATCTCAGAAGTAGCAACCCGCCATAACAACAAAAAATCCAAAATAAGTGCAGAATCGAAGAATATGCTGAAACAACGAAAAGAGCTCCTGTCACTAAACAAAAGAAATACCACAGAATACAAAGAACTTAATCGAGCCATACGAAAACAGATAAAAGACGATATTAAAAAACATCAACAAGAACATGTAGAAAGAGTGATAGAGAAAAATCGAAGTCTGAAATATACCAAACCGAAATTAGGAAAGAAAAATATTATAACTATGAAAAATCAACAAGGCCAACTAGAAACAAGCAAAGCTCAGATATCAAACATAGTTGAAAACTTCTATACTGAGTTATACCGCTCAAGAAACGATCCCCCCGATTCTTCAAAGCAAAATCTGAAAAGACAAATAACAAACGTAAATTCTGAAGTAATGCCCGAAATAAGCGAAGTAGAAATAGAAAATGCAATTAAAGAAATGAAAAGAAATAAAGCACCGGGTAGTGATGGAATTCTGGCAGAAATGTTGAAAGAAGGCGGAGAAGAAGTCATCAGGTACCTAAAAATACTTTTTAATAAATGCCTATTTAAAGGAAACATACTAAAGGAATGGAATACACACAACTGCTAACACAATATTAATACACAAAAAAGGGACAATACAGATCTGAAAAATTATCGTCCAATATCACTACTATCACAACTTTATAAAACATTCACAAAAATAATTACAAATAGATTGACAACAAAGTTCGATGTATATCAACCAGCAGAGCAAGCCGGATTTAGAAAAGGGTTCAGTACATATGACCATCTTCGCACACTAAAGGTCCTAATAGAAAAAGTTAACGAATACAATTTACCCATCTGTTTAGCATTTATAGACTACGAGAAAGCTTTTGACAGCATAGAATTATGGGCTATTGAGGAAGCACTGGTCAACAGCAGAATAGATTCTAGATATAGGATATTAATACATAATATATATCAACACGCTGAAATGGTAGTCACGATGGATAAAGGAATGAAAGCGAGGCCAATAAAAATCAACCGAGGAGTAAGACAGGGAGACACCATATCTCCAAAACTATTTACTGCCGCACTTGAAGACATCTTTAAATCACTAAATTGGGAAACGAAGGGACTATCGATAAACGGAAAGTATTTAAACCATCTAAGATATGCAGATGACGTAGTACTAATAGCCGACAGCTGGAAAGAACTGAAGACGATGATCGATGAGCTTCATACGGAATCCATAAAAAAAGGACTGAAAATGAATCTGAGTAAAACTAAGCTAATGTCGAATAAAGATGATCAACCGACGATAACCATCCAAGGAACAAAAGTGGAACATGTAGAAGAATACATATATCTGGGTCAGAATATCAAGGTAAACAAAGAAAACCAAACTACCGAAATAAGCAGACGAGTAAGAATGGGATGGGCCGCATTTGGAAAACTCTCATACATACTGAAAGACAAAAAGATACCCAAAACCTTCGAACCAAAGTGTTCGATTCTTGTATCCTTCCCGTTCTCACTTACGGAGCTCAAACCTGGACATTCACAAAAAAGAACATGGACAAGATTCGAAAAACTCAGCGAGCCATGGAACGACAGATGCTTGGTATCTCACTAATAGATCGGCAAACGAACGAAGCAATCCGGAACAAAACAAAAATAAAGGACGCCGCGAAACAAGCAGCTAAATTAAAATGGAAATGGGCTGGACACAACGAACGTCTCGAAGATGGTAGATGGAACAAAGAAGTCGGAAACTGGCGACCGTACGATGCGAAGAGACCAAGAGGAAGACCTCAAATGCGCTGGAGCGACGATATCAAAAGAGTCGCAGGACCAATGTGGAAACGCCTAGCACACAACAGGGATTAATAGACTGGCAGGATGCCTTAATAACACTATATGGCGAAACAGACACATTGAGATGAAGTCAAGAATTTCTAAAGCCAGTGTAAGACCTACAATAACATATGCCTCAGAAACAAGACCCGACACAGACACAACGCAAGGGCTACTGGAAACGGCAGAGATGGGAGTACTGAGAATAATTACAGGAAATACTCTGAGAGATCGAAAAAGCAGTGAAGATATTAGAAGAAAATGTAACGTGCAGTGTATACATTAATGGATACAAAATAGAAAAAACGAATTGAATATCCACATGAGTAGAATGGAAGAGACCGGTGTCGTCAAAATAGCAAGTCAACAATAGGCAGAAGAAGTATTGAACGACC